GAGCCATGCCTATTCTGAACCGGATACATGAGACACATCAAGCAGAGTGTTATCTCGCGCTAAGTGAATATTGCATTCAGCTGATATGTGATATTTGAATTTCCCATTAGGGGGGGGAATGTGTGTCAGAGTGAAAAAGCTCAGTGATGCTTGCTCATTTCAGAGCAGGCAGTGAATGGAAACCTTGCTCCACAGTTGCAGTGTGTCATGGTGGTGATAAGGATGCTGTGATGGAAGGGGACTCCTGAGGGGGTGACTAGTAATAAAACTGACTGCTGTTGCTCACAGGGTCACCTACACAGCAGCCCGAGTCAGTTTGAAGACTAACTATCATTTACTAGAAACTCAACTCAACCACTGTGATCTTCTACGGCAGATTGAAATGGGCCTTTATATCGACTCGAGACACTCCAGTCTATTCACGTCTGTCAATTTGTTCAAACTCTGCTTTCAATTTCCCATCGTTGGCGAGCGAGTAAGAGAGGGTAACGTCAAACTCCCAAACATGACAGAGCTGGCTCTTTCTGACGAGAGGAAGCCATTGATTTTTCCTCCATTTCACCATCAATCTGGTGGAGAAGAGGTGGCTGTGGGTGCTCAGACAGCTGATGATGTGATTTGTAAGCGTGGACCACCGGTGAGCGGAGAGAATTGCTCCGACTCTCAACACGTGGCAAAGTGACTACCGGCGTCTTCAGCGTCCACTAGTAAGATTAACAGCGGGGGATCTACTGATGGTCTCCTTCGGCCGAGGGAGTATTTTCTCTGTCAGCCACACTAACATTTGTATTCAGCAGACACACTGTCAAGGCTTGTGTCACTCCATTGTGAAAAGTATTCTAGAGTAGCAAGAAGCAATCAGTTTCATTATCAGTCCATCTGTTGATTGTTTTCCTAATTAATTATTCAGCTTATAAATTGTGAAAATTGCTCGTCACTGTTCCCGGAGCCCATGATCTTCAAATTGCTTCTTTTTTTTTCAACCAAAAGTTTAAAATCTAAAAAGGTACTTTTAGCTAGGGGCTGCTCGATGAATGGCACTACAGATAGTACGTCAGTCTGACCACCTCTTCATTCTATCTTAACTGGATGAAAGGCCGTGGTGTACTTTCAACCCTATTTGTTTGTCTGCTTGTCAGCCTTATTACTGGAAAGACTACTGGCCAGATTATCATTGAACTTGGTGGAAAGGGCCAAGAAAGGACCAATAAAATGTGGATAGGATCAAAATCAAGGGGACGATGCAGTAATTATTAAATTCTAAACAATTTGTTGCTTACTGGAAAAATTCATTTGAATGTGGCATCACCAATAATGTTTTATACTGTTTTATATCTTTGTCAGGGCAAAAGAAGGTCTCAAATAACGGTTTTTGTTTTGTTTTTAATACTTTCAAGCCTCCTGATTGGCTATGTTGCATACCACGTACTGTACCAACAACATTACCTGTTTGTTGCCAGCCATGTCATCACCCAGTGTTTCCTGTCTCTCTATTCTGTAATACTCATGCACGTATTATTCTGTAAATATGTGTATGGCATAACTTTAATTTCAAACCACATCTTCACATACGCATTTTGGACAATCATCATCACTCATTTATTGCACACACATTTCAGCATTTGAAATAAATAGACACTGCAGATTTTTTTTCGGTAAATACTCATGACATGTAAGAATGATTAAAACATCACAGATGACATAAAGGCATTACATCATTAAAAAAATTAATTACACATGACAATACAAAGACATTAATAAAACTACAATTTCATCAAACAGCTTCTTATGCAGAAGTCAAAAATGTTCTCTTCATACAGAGTTTATTAAAAAGCAGAGTATCCACCCCATGCTGACACTTATTCTGACCTAACAACACCATCATAGAAAACAGAGCTCCTGCATAAACGCTGCACTGCAGGTTCGATTGAATACCATTGTAATGTCTCTCTAACATCTAGTGACACCGTGCAGGCTTTCTAAGGAAGGAGTAATCCTCTTTAGATCATTTGCAAAGCAATTAGGCATGCCTCCACTGCTATTAAATATGAAGATAACAGCCTATGAGATAAGATGCTATTTGTACTACGTATCAAATGTGGATAGCTGCCTAAGAGCCCTGATATCAGGGAGATATATTTAATTCCTTGTAAATGAAATTAAAAAATACGACAGTAAAAAATTAAAGAGACATATCTACTCTACTATCTATCATGAAATTGAATTTATCAATTTAATGTCCTCAGACCTAAATCCTCAATTAATGGAGCTATAACTATGCATCACATCATAAATACTACACATTTTATACATTGCAATCACTTTAAATGCATGGCTTCATGGATAAGATCAAGTCTGACATTCCACTGAACAAGGCAAATATATAAATACGTTTAGCTGCCAAAATAAATTGTCAAACATATTGAGAGTGCACCATCGCCACGCTGACAATCACAGGAAACCCTGACCACACTAGGACTTTATTGTGAAAAGAAAGGTGCCCAGATCAAACGGCGTCACTTTTGAAACCCAAAGTGAGTTGAACTACTGCGACTCGCAACATGCATTTGTCAGCAGGAACCAGAGAGCCTCTTCTGCATGTGTTTCTATCATCACTACACAGAGAGAACAAACGCCACTGACAAGAAAGGAGCCAAAAAAAAAAGAAAAGCAGATTTCCCACTGACCTGTGACCCGGGGACCAAGGGGCCGCCCCGTGTGCATACAGAGGAGGTTCAAACTGAGTTTATGACTGCATTATCTGTCCTCCTTCCTCAACACCTCTCCACCCATCAGTGGACACCAGCAGCCACTACACCGGAGCACACAGACCGGGCATCACTCATTCACTCGCCTCCTAGGTGCCTTTGTCAGGTGATTGCTGGCGGAAAAAGGAAAACAGATCAATACATCTCCCATGGGCCTGACAGGTAATCTTTACCTGGGATGAAATATGAGTGGTACCGGCCTGCTGGATTCCTTAACTGTAACAGGGCAATTGACTGGCTTTGCGGAAGCCATTCCCCCCCCCACCCCTACTTCCTGGCCATTGGAAATACATTTTGCAGCATACAGTCTGGCTGAGATGACATTATGGGGACTGCTAATTACCAGAGAGTCAGGAGAGTTGTTTCCCCTCCCGCTACTAATGGAACTGTATCTGAAGTGATGCTTCTTCCAGCCCTGTCAATGCCATAGCACCAAAACACAGACTGACTGATAGAGCAATAGGTGGGAAGCTCTCCTGTCAACCAGAGGCTTCAAAAGGAAACCAATGTATTCATCAAAAACTTCAAATTATGAATGTGGATCATGTATGCGTGGCATGTGAATATCCCACGAAGCTGCTGGACTGTTTGGCCAAGCTGCTGTGTGTGTGTGTGTGTGTGTGTGTGTGTGTGTGTGTGTGTGTGTGTGTGTGTGTGTGTGTGTGTGTGTGTGTGTGTGTGTGTGTGTGTGTGTGTGTGTGTGTTCTTTGCCTCAACACTTTGAGTGATTCCTGTGGCAGGATGTCTTGTGTGAGGCATCCATTTAGACGAGTGTGCACACACAGCATTTATAAATGTCATCCCTGGCCAACATGATCACATAAAGCCTTCTCAGACGGATTATTGCCGACGTATAACTCACGTTAATTGGCAAATCTCATTCTACTAAATGCGATCCTTCTCTCAGAGAAGGCTTTAAAGTGTCTGAAAAGACATGCAGAATGTGGCTGATGATAATGCGGATCGTTTCACTACAAAGGTATCTTGTGATCATTATTATGGAAAGTGCATACCTTTGCCTTTTGGTGTTGGGAAGGATTTCAGATAAGCTATTTAAAAACTTGCACGAATTCTCTTCGCTTAAAATTGCCCTCAAAAAAACATTTTATATTGAAATGTCAAACCCCAGGAGAGATAATGTATAGGGGAATGTGTTTGTGTTTTTAAAGACAGTCATCATCTGTATGTGGTTTAGGTTGAGTAGAATGTACTTCACTTGACTCCTATATAGAAATGCAGTTTTCTGAAAATACGGCATGTTTACCAGCTGTGAGAGAATTGTTGTGTTTGATCTCAGTGTACGCCGCCATTGATCTTTTAATGCATCTGATGCTGAGAGAGTCGGTGAAATGTATACCCCAAGGGTAGGTGAATGTGCACGACACTCCTTTCCCGTCTTCAACAGCTTCTGCATCTCCTCTCCACCGGCCCCACTTCTCCACCGCTGCTGGAAAACACACTGTTCAAACAGATTTGCAGCTGGCCTTGAACTTAAACACATTTGGGGACATTTAAATACGGAAGGTAGGCTAAATAGAGAACAAAAGCGGCCCTCCGAGGACGGCGACTACGCTCCCTCTGTGTTGTGCTAATGAGCACCTTTGTACAAACTGTAGCTTTTCAAAACCATGCTAATCGGACGCCTGTACTTTGTGTGGCTCTCTACCGGTGGTCGCCTCTCCGAACCCTGTAGCAGCATGGGGTCGCTAAACATTCTGATGCTCTCCTGTCTCGCAGCTACAGAAGCTTCGTGCCGTAAACCTGACCACACCATCCTCCCAGTGTTCCCGCTGACAAACGCCGCGCTACTACGTTACTAGAGTGGACATAATTGTTGGATTGTGTGGTAGCAGGTGGCCCTGGAGCCAGTGTGTGGAAACAGGGGGAGCCGTCCAGTCTTCAGTGGAACGAGGAGCCTCTTGAAGCTACTTTCAGGAGATGGCTTAACAAGGCTTGATTGCATTAACATTTGTCATGCTTAATACTACACCTGAAAAGACTGGATCCAGCAATAACATGCTGATTTGAGGAGTAATTATGTGCTTTGTATTTTTTCCTTTGTTATATAGTTTGTGCAGCAAGAGAGGCCTTTTCATTCTCTGGCACAATATCTTTTCATTTGTCACTTCAGTGTGCTTGTCCGGGCAGGTTTCTGGTGGTCCCTCCTCCAGTGTGCTTGTCCGGGCAGGTTTCTGGTGGTCCTCGGGTGGGGGGGGAGATAAACTCTGTGAACCTGGTGCTCTTGGTCCCACTAGGGTTGAGGTGTTACTGGCTCCCTGTGCCTCTTCTCTCCGGTGATCCTTGTGAAATGAGTTGCTTGCTGCAGAGAATAAAGAAAGCCCATATCATATTCTGGACATGTAACACAACACTGAGAACAAACAGAAATAGATACTCACATAAATCACATTTCCCAGATTCAATGGACAGGCTCTCGGATAAAGATAAATACATTTCGTCCACGACTCATGGATCACTCGCTGTTTTAGGTATATTAAAATAAAAACTTTGAAGCAATCCTTTTCTAATAGGTTAAATATTAATGAGGTTTTGGTCAAGTGAGCCAAATCCAATTTGGCCCCATATGACTCGTGGACATGGTTATTAAAAGGCCAATCTGTGCTGCTCCTATGGCTTAACTCCCTCCCCTCCAGTTATGCAGTGTAAGAAGCTGTATGTTTTTAACTCCATTCATCATTCACGTTCACATCTCACTGACTCCCTTTCTTTTTAAACATCCTCTTTCTCTTGATCTGGCTCACCCTTAAAGCTTTTTGTTCCTGGAATTGAAGGGAAATATCTGAAAGAGAAAAGGGGCCAATTTCTGCAGAAGACAGAGGAACTCTAAAACAATTGCGCTCCCTAACATGCTTGATAAATAAATCTTTTCAGATTTCCCCGAAAAAAGTTAGCGGCGGTCACACAAGACATCGGTGAGGCAGTCCCAGAGCAGAGGACAAGGGAACTAGAAGTGACATTGTGGCTCTGGGCTGTCTCAAAGGATTAGGCATTACAGCATTCACTGGCATGTGCTTTTGCTCCTTCCCATTATATCTGCTTGTGCCTCTTTCCAGATGACTTCTTCCCCAAACTGATCCGGCGGGCAAGATAATTGATTAATATTTCTTGAGGGAATGATGACTAACCGTTGCTGAGTTTCAACCCAAACACTCGGGTTAAACATAGTCAAAGGCTTGGATCAAAATTCAGTGGTTTCCATATTTGACAGATACACAGAAATGGCTGGGAACTTTGAGTTTGTGGGTGTGTTTACATGCTCAGGGCATAGCAGATAGTCGCCTCTGTCCTAGGTCAAGGTCACAATCTGGATACGCTGTTTATTCACATTTTACATTTTGTTCAACTGAGCGGATATTCACATGAACTAAACCTTTTACCACGCAAATCCAGGTTGTACTTATTTAAGGGAAGCTACCTTATTCTGGCTAATCAATGAACCAGTATTCAAGGTTCACATGTTTACGTACCAATACAACCATTTGAAAGGTAAAGTAGAAGTCATGCAGGCAAAATTGTAAAAGAATAAAAGCATTATTCTGTAAATGTACTTAATACAGGTAGAAAATGGCCCCTGTCACTCAAATATTTCAAATGTATTGTAAGGTGTGCCAATGCTTAAGTAGTGTATCATTTTTTTAAACTAACCTACAGTAGGAGAGGGTATGAAGATCTAAATAAATCTTGAGAGTTTGTGAGTATTTCCTTCATTGGGTAAGGAAATACAAATATTTCTACCTTTTGCTTTTTCGTGAATTATAAGAATCATTTGGGTCTCTAACAGTTAAATAAAGCCTCTTGGTGAAATCCATTGACATGTGATCCGACACTGGTCTCGAGCCAAAAGGTTTGGGAACATTGGTTTAATATTTAACAATACATTGTATTTTAGGAGATTAGCATGTGTGGAATGTAGGACCATAAAGTAACAGAAAACGGAAATATTCAAGGTGCCTCAAAATTGTACTTAAACACAGTACTTGGTTACTTTCTACCACTGACTGTATGCAGGTTGTAGGTAAATAATATAAAACGTTTAAATATAGCAACTTATCACAATTATAGTATCTTTGTACATTAATGTGAGCGTTGCAAGATCAATTAAACTTGATGAATGAATAAAAGATACTTTCATTCGGCCAGAACACCTACACTTACACTCAACTGGTTTTACATCAAGGTCGATAAAGACATTAAAAAGGTTTTCTGTCAATGGGAGAATTACAGTACATGCATTTATTGTGGGTGATAATGGGAGGTTGAATGGAACCATCTTACCATCTTAATAAGCTCTCATGTGATGCTCTCTAAAAACAATCATTACAGGCCTTCCTGGAGCACTCCCCTTCCCCGTGTTTATTAATCAGCTAATTACACATTGACAGTAATGGGCCTGCTGATTCCCACACTTAAATGAACAGGGCTGAATAGCTCTTTAATGATTAGCCTTTGTGTTTCTCTCTCCTGCTCGCTCTCCTTCTCTCTCGCAGACACACACTAACAGACCATTCTTTTCACAATTGAACAAAAAACAAGACATTCAAATCAGACCTCCCGGTGAGCAGGTTTGCACACAAGCAGAGTCAGAAAGCCCCTGACAGACTCTGAGCTGCTAAAAACAAATCTGTCTTTACAAAAAGAAAACAATTAGGGTGTTTACAAAGGCAGCGGGTTTCTCGGCTACACTATGTCAACTTGTGTGGGTTTCAGTGTTAAGCTGAGCCTGGAGCAACCGCAAACAACCACCCTGGAAGTTTGGTGGAGCAGCGCAAGCAGGTGCAGGTCATAGACGGAGGAGATGGGGAGGGGCTTTTTGAAGGACGCGAGCGGGGTGCGGAATGGAGCCGGAGAGGGCGAAATAGTGCGGTGGGCTGCATTTCTGTCAGCAGAAGTGATGGCTGAGTGGTAGCGTTATTTGTCTTGTGCTGCCATACGGCCCTCGCACCAGCCTGGGCATTAATGAGAGGGGGCCGGACCGCCGGGCAGGAACACGGCGGGCCCCAGACGCAGGTGATCTGTCACGCAGCCGTCGTGCTCGAGCAAGGAGACACATGAAGAGGGGAGAGGGGAGGCTGGGGGGCCGGCCTCCACGTGTGGCACTTTCCAAGACGTAGGGAACGCACTGATGACGTTAATCAGAGTTTAAACCCTGACTCCTCCTTAAATAAAGCACTCTGAGTAAGTTACAGTTTGGGTTATTACCATTGTCGCTTGATAGATATAAAGAGGAATTACATTTTGCAGCAGGAGACAGCAGGGGGGGGGGTTTAGAATTGCGATTATTAATTAGTCTGTTTCCGAGACAAGCTAGGACAATTAAAATCCATCGGGATCTTCACACACACTGATTGATCTTTGCCTTAGGAATATCTTTCATTATATTGTCAACAGGTACTTATTTTCCTTCACATTCAAAAGGCAACATGGTGATATTACTCATTGCAGAACACAACATTTTGGATCAAATATCAAAATGTGCAGAAATTATACAATTTGTAGCCACCCAAAATAGATCCAGTTTAAATTACAATATCAATGTGCCTTTTTTTATAATATCCAACAACATATAATAGAGAACTGGCATGCTTTGTCTCGAGATCTAGTAAGCACTTGTTGGATTGAGTTGGATTGTTGGATTGACGGTTGTGAGAAAAGCAGAAAATGGGCAATTTACGGTGGAGTAATGGAGTGGTCATCTAATCCAAACAGATACCTGGCTTGATAAATTGTTGTGTTGTTTTTCTTTTTTTTCCCCCAAACCAGTTTCCGCACTTCCACAGAAGTGCTAAAAGGGTAAAGAAAGAAGACAAAAGCAACAGCTGGGTACCGCCTCAGTAATTCCCCACGGAGACCTGGAAGACACCTCCGGCCGAAGACCATTTTCACTCCTGATTACAGAGTCTCAAATCAAGCGCTAACACGTACAACAATCCACTTCCTCTGGCCAACTCAAACAAAGACCTGGCTGTCGTGTTCACTGAGAGCAACGTGCTGTTCTCTCTTCTAAATGCAGTAAACAATCTTTACATGCAAACAAGATGTTTACCGGAGAACAATTCGGCTCAACAAATCACTGAATCTGATTTTGTCTCTGAACAGATTTATGTCAGAATGGCAACAAACCAAAATGTGTACACGGGGAGTGTGAAAGCTTGTCAGAGTGAATGTGCGTCTCCTGGCCGCGGTGAGATTACTGAGGAGCGACATGCTCCAGCTCGCTGCCAAAGTAAAGATTTATACAGAGCAGTTGCAGCTGCAGAAACTGACATTGGACGACAGGGGATGCATGATAAATCATGGTGGACAGGGGGCACTAGACTCAAGAAGCAGGAAAACACTTTCAACAGGGCTGAGGGGGGTGTGCCAATCAGGGACCCTTCTCCTACGCAATATGGGGAACAGATCATCTTGTAGTCTCTTAATCCAAAACACACTATAAAAAATCCAAGGGGTCATGGCAGTATTTATTTTTGGGAGAAAACCCATGAGAAAATACCCTATCAAACTAAAATGTTATGCAGTGATAATCTGTAAAGTGCAGGATTTACAAATTAAACACTAATTTCTTTGTATTTGTGGAAAAATAATGATTAATTTATCATGTTTTGTTTAAGATTTCAATACATTTATTTCCCCCTCTTAAACCTTTAACAATAGGGTCTGTCAACTGTCCTAAACTGAGGGATGCCCCTTCGTTCCGCATGTTGAATATGAGGGGTCCTTAAGGGCCAGGGGTGAATCCTTTTGTACTTTTATGGGAAGTGGTTCAGCGCTGGGGGGGTGAAGGACAGAGTTACCGGCCGCTCCATCACTCAATGCAATAAATGGATGCAATCTGTCCCCAAGTAAAGCATTGGCTGTTTTTAAATTCCACCTCTTTTATCCAAATGAATGATGGACCCTGGTACAGTGCACTGTGTGACAATATTAATATACATCAGAGGCCTACACCCCTCACTAAATCATGGAACTACTGGCATTTGTTATTTAAATGACAAACAGGAGCTGCAGGAGTGGAGCACGGGGAGAGGACGCAGAGGAAAAAGGTGGACAAACCAATTCAGATTTCAATCCGGCAAAGACACAAGGCCCGGAGCCATGACTCTAATGAAAAAAGGCAGCTCCTGCGGTCCAAACAGACACAGCGGCGGCTGCTCGCTGCCACCTGCAATACGGTGAACTCTACATCACTTCTCTTTGTCTTTCGCTTTAAAAGGGAAACTTCAATCGTCAAACATATTAACAAGTCTAACTTCACATTTCCATCTCCTGTTAACTCACAAAATATTTTCCATTCTGTATTTACAGAAACTGGTCAACTGCATTTAGGCAGAGTGGTGCTTTAAGAGTTATGTTAATATGCTCAATCATTAAGCTCACAAGCTGATTTATGGCAGGTTTGTTTACCATGTACACCTTCATAGGTATCCCACTGATGGAAAGGTTGTTGCCTGTTCAATACCCAGGTATTATCTGATGTTTCTCTGTCATGCCCCCATTCAAAAGGTGAAAAAAACATGGCCCCAACATTCTCACGCTAGCGAAAAACGAATCCCATTGTTATCAAAAACATACATAATGAATCAGTAATGCATTGTATAATCTCCAAAATGACAACAATTGGTCTTCAGAGGGGCGTGAATGCCTGTACCAAATCTCATGGCAATTCATGTTGAGATATTTCCCTAAAAAACACATGCCAACCTCATGTTGGCATTAGAAAAGTGAGGGGACAAACAAATCCATTAGGATTCATCCTCTGAGCACCATGATGGTCCATACAAAACGTCACAGAAATCCATCCAGTAGTTGTTTAGATATATCAGTCTGGACTACAGAAGAGGACTGACAGAACCACATTGTTGCACTGCTAAAAACACAAAGCTACAAAAAATGATGACTAAATGTCTCTTATTTTAGGTATCTTTATCAGAGATATCTAGAAATCATTAACCTGCACGTTTAGTTTTGTATGCCCCAACATAACACATCGAATAATAATATGAGCGAGTGGTGAGTAGGCCGGAGATTCATCAGTATATGTGAAGGGTGATACCTGATGTTGTGACGGACACCGCTGCTGTCCTCCTGATGTCACTGCGGGGTGGTGTGCACAGGAGACCTCAGTCTGCCTGAGGGGACAGAGAAACAGAGACCAAACTTTACTCCCAATACCTCCCCACACATAAACATGTACAAATGTAATAATTCCATAAAAGTCGATAAATGCAAGCGAGGCACATTTGCAAACGCAGCAGTTTACAGTGCGATGCATATCTTGGCCCCACCTTAATTTTTCTTCATTAATACATATTTTCAGCAGATGGAATATTGGATGAGGAGAGGTGCTGGGTGCAAGTGGCTGAGTCATTGCAGAGTTCACATAAACAAATTACACCTGCTCCTTGCCTCCTGTGTCATATGTCAGGAGCCCTGAAATAGGAAAAAAGCCCCCCCACCAGCTTAATAGCCCTGACTTCAGAAATGTAAAGTTAAGGTCAAGGTCCGTTCCATCACTGGGAAGGGAGGGGGAGCAGCTGATGTGGTGTGTGTGTGTGTGTGTGTGTGTGTGTGTGTGTGTGTGTGTGTGTGTGTGTGTGTGTGTGTGTGTGTGTGTGTGTGTGTGTGTGTGTGTGTGTGCGCGCGCGCGCGCGCGCGTGCGCATGGGAGTGTGTGCGTGGGAGGA